TTTATTTTTACGCAAGGGTTATTTTATAGTTTATTAGGAGTCTATAAATAAATATTTTGTGTAAAGTTTTATGTGCGCTCAAAGAAAAGTGTACTCAGAGAAAAGTGTAGAGAAAGACATGCCTCCTTTTGTGTGAAAGAGAGAAAAGTGAGGAGAGGGATAGACAAATGGTGTAAGGAATTTTGGGTAGAGAGAGAAAGTTTATTGAGTGTATAATTCTTAAAACTGTTAGTGAATTTTTCTCCATCTTCCGTGGACGTAGGAAATTTTTCCTAACCACCTAAATCTTTGTCTTCTCTATTTTTGTATTATTTTTATTTCAGTTTATTTTTCTTCTGAGTGAGTGTACAGGTGTGTTCATCCCCAACAACTGGTGTCAGAGTTTTGGTGAAGATTAAAAAGAAAAGCCAAGATGATGTTCAGGATAAAGTTTGAGCGGTTTGATAGAAAGAGTAATTTCAGCATCTGCTAGAGTACGGTGAAAGATGTTTTGATTCAGCAGGAGAGAAGCTAGAAAAGATGAAAGATGAAGATTGAGAAGAATTGGTAGCGAGAGCGGTAAGCACTATCCGTTTATGTTTGGCTCTTGAACTGAAATATAGTGTTATGAATGAGACATTTCGTTATGAGTTATGGAAAAAATTAGAAAAAGTTTATATGTCGAAATCCTTAACAAATAGAATATGTTTGAAGAAGCAACTGTATGAGTTGAAGATGGATGAGTAAAGCGATGTTAGGGACTATATAAATAATTTTAATAAGTACATAACTCAATTATTAAGTGTAGAGGTCAAAATTGATGAGGAAGATAACCGATAATTTTGTTGGCCTCCCTACCCAAATCATATGAGCCTTTGGTGACTACACTCTTAGTTGAAAAGATGACATTGACTGTGGATGAGGTGTCGACTGCTCTGTTAGAGACTGCAAATATAAAGAAGTAAAGTAGTACGTCTCATACTAAAAAGTTTTAGTGGCTAAGTCAGATTCGAATAGGGGTAGGAGTAAGTCACAAGGGATGTGTTATAATAAGTGAGATGATCATTCCCAATCCCGTCTAAAGAAGGATATTGAATGCTACTACTGTCATAAGAATATGCATATTAGGAGAAATCATGAAGTGCTAACAAAGCACCTTGAAGAAAAGAGAAAACAAAAAACTCAAAGAGACTTCAGATTCTGCAAATATTGTTAGCGACAGTGTGACATTGAAGATGATGTGTATTCTGTAATTGCTGATGAAAATATTTCTGACTCTTAGATTCTAGATGCTAGTTTCATATGTGCTCGTATAAAGAGTGATTTGATTCCTATAAGCCTTGTAATGTCGGTACTTTGTTGATGGCTAATGATTCTAGTGCTAAAGTTGTTGGAATAGGTATTGTAAGGGTGAAGATGTTTGTTAGAGTTATGAGGATATTGACAAATGTTAGGCATGTTCCTCGACTAAAGAGAAGTTAGATTTCTTTAGGAGTTTTAGACACTTTGGGTTGTGAGTACTATACGAATGGTGGTTTTATGCAAGTTAAGAAAGGTGATTTAACAGTCATAAAGGGTGAAAAAGTGAAAAACTTGTATAAACTAATTAGGATTACAGTTGTAGGTAGAGCTATGAAGGTGGAGCCAAGTCACAAAGAAGCTTCTTCTGTTGTAAAAGAAGTTGCAAGAGTAAAAGAGTGCAATAAGATGAGAACAATTGAAGATGATAAAGACAAGATGGTGAAGACTTATACCAGTGAAAATACTTTGAAGAAGAAGAAGACAGTTCCTCGTGTCAAGTTTGATTTGATGAGAGTTTTAACTGGATACATGTTTATTCTTGTTGAAATTTGCATTGTCGGTGTGATGACGGGTTTCGAGATTGAATACCCAAATAAGTGAGTTAAGACAATTTGAGTCAAGGTGTAGATTGTTGGGTAAGTGCCTCAAATTGGTTTTGGAAAAATTAATATTTCGTGTTTTTTTGTAAGTTATTGTTTTTTTATTTTTGGGCAATTATTTAATGGTTTATTAAAAGTCTGTAAATAAGTGTTTTGTGTAAAGTTTTATGTGTGCTCAGAGAAAAGTGTAGAGAAATAGTGCCTCCTTTTGAGAGAAAAAAAGTAAAGTGAGGAGCGAAATAGACAAAAGGTGTAAGGAGTTTTTGGTAGAGAGAGAAAGTGAGAAAGTTTATTGAGTGTATAACTCTTAAAACTATTAGTGAATTTTTTTTCCTCTTCCGTGGACGTAGGAAATTTTTTCTAACCACCTAAATCTTTGTCTTCTCTATTTTTTTATTATTTTTGTTTCTTTTTATTTTTTAGCTGCGTGAGTGTAAGGGTGTGTTCTTCCCCAACAATTATGGATACCAAATGTTCTCTCTCATTATTTTTTTTTTTTAAATCTACAAAGAAAGTATTGCTATGTGAAAACTTCTATGATCCATCGTTTGGTGCAATTCAAATGAGCACACCTTGGAAATTCCTTAATTTAAAAATAAAATGAATTATAAGAAATCAGAAGAAGCGGAAATTGTTGCTTCCGGTGTTTGGGAAAAATTAACAATCTCGCTATCTCAAGAAAGAAATTGAACATTAATAATCCCGAAAAGAAAAAGTGTCCTATGAGCCTAGAACTAATAAGTGGGAAGAGTCTTAAAATACGAAAATTTAGGATATTTTTTCTCTTAGGTTGCTTTTTGCTTTCAAGTTGGATTTTCTTTAATTTTTAGTTTATTAGAACCTTTTTTTTTTCTTTTCTTTTTAAGTATTCTGAATTGTTGATTTATCACCTGGCCTGCTTAATAACATTTTCTGCTGATTAAAAAAAAATGAACTATGATCTCAATGAGCCATTCTCATATGTTTTTTTTTTTTTTCTTTTTTTACTACTAGTTGTTTCTATTTGGAAGTTTTAACTTGGCATCTTCATCATTTTTTCTTAATGGAAGCTTCGATCCATCCAAGTTTTTCCTTTGATCAAGTTGAGTTCACAAGAGTTTTTTTTTTTTTTTTTTTTCCTTTCTTTTCTAGTATGGTTATTTTGTGTACACTCTTGGAGTTCTTTTCCCCCTTTTCAACTGTACTGTTTTCTTAATTAATGTTGTCAACTTTATTAGCAGTACCATAGATAACTCTCTAGCAAGTGTTTCCCTAATCTGAATTAATGCGATAAAGAAAGTCGTGCATAATGCAATCAATTAATTATGGAAAGCAGCACATTACATAAATTAGTAATCTTTACATGGCAACATCAACTTGAAGCTTTTACATTGAAAGATACTATAACTCCTGTTTGCATATCATATGTCGAACATAGCTAACTAACGTACCAAGTAATTCATATCAATGTATAGACATTGGAATTAATTCCACATTTCTGCTAATTATTAAAGCTAGATAATTTTTTTTTTCTTGGTTGTCTTTCTTTTTTTTAAGGGAAAACGTTTTGCTAGCTAGCCATCTTACCCAGCAGCTACCGTTTGCATAAACAAAGTTGACAGAAATCTTCACAATATCTTTCTTATCTCTAATTTGTAATCTCAGATTATGATTGACCAACCGACATTCAAAACTTAGATTATGGAAAGTAAGTGCCTACCTCTCCATAATCAATTATTAACATCTCATAACCGAATAATTAATCTAGCTAACAACAAAGTCGAAAGTAACAATCGAAAACAACTTACACACACATATAAATATATGTACACACACACCAAATTCCCATGGCATATATGTGTATATGTATATGGTGAAAAAGAAGTTATAATGAGTAGCATGACAGAAAAACAATGAGAAAACCCAACACAACCGAAAGGTAGAAAGAAGAAAAACATCTGTAAAATCAAAGGACGTACCAAAAGGGTAACGGGAACATGCTCATCTTGACATTTGCCCAAACCAATATAAAGCGGTTATGTGTGGCTTTCAAACCTTATATCTCTCTCTCTCTCTCTCCCTCCACACAAACCTAACTTGCCCTGAGCCCAATCTGTGGCACGTGCCATACAATCTTTTGACATATTGTAGGATTTCCTTATTACGGAAAATCACCCTTTAGCCCTCTTTTAGCATTTTTATTTAAGATAATGTCAGCATTATTTTTTCTGTCATTCTCTCTTTATGACTTTCTGTATTTATTATTTGACATGTAGACTTTATAATTTCATTTTCTGTTTAAATAATAACATATAATATTAGTGCAATTCGCGAGTCAAATAATAAATACAGAAAGTGAAAAAAAAAATGTTAGTATTTCTTTCTTTAATCCTCTCATCATATGTTAGTATTTCTCTTTCTTAATTCCTCTTATCATATTTTTCGGCCTATCTTTACTATGGTCGTGTTTATTAATGCGTTAGAGCAATCGTCTCAAAATGACTAAAATGCCCTGCACCAACTTATTGTACCTTCAATTTATAATAATGATTGGCATGGGTAGCATGGTCATTTTGACTCATGGGAAGGATGGTGGTTGTGTAGATCATTGAGATGACTTTGTACTGACCTTATCTTTATTTTATTCCTTAGTTTGCGTTGGTTTCCAAAAGCCTCACATAAAATGACAATTATAACCGACATTTTTAGGGTGCTCGTATATTTCGGTCATTAACCTCTCTTTTTTCTTTTTCCTGAACAATTAACCTCTTCTTAGTATTAAATATATTATAAAAATGTACTCAAAAGTCTATTCTGATTGGATAAATGTGAAAATCTTTTACTATCTACCATGTATTTTCATGGAATAAAAAACATTTTTTTATGACCAAATAAAATAAGAAAAAAAAAACTTGACTTATTGTTCTATATACTGAGGTCATTACAGTCATTTAGCAAAAAGTCTACGAAATTTTTTCTTGTTGTTTTTGTTTTCTTCTAGGCTTATTTCTCTATATAAAATTAAAAAATCCGATTTTTTGAATAATTTCTTTTTCATACGGAGAATAATAATAATAAAAAAAAGAAATATATAATAATGGTGATGAAAGAGGGGATGTGAAGAGGAAGATTAATAGCGACTGCTTCTCTCTCTCTCTTTCTCTCTCTTTCTCTTTGGGCGTTTGTTGGTTTGAGAGAGATATCAGTCCCCCAAAGGCAAAGCCTCCATTTTTATTTTATATTTGTAACTTCCCATCTCTCTTTTTCCAGAAGGTGATTGCAAAAACACTCACTGCAAAGAAAAACAAAGAGAAAGAAAAGGAGAGAAAGAGAAAGAAAGAGACGACAGACAGAGCGACACAACATAATAGAGAGAGAGAGAGGGAATTCAAGAAGCTTTCAATACCACAGAACGGAAAACGATGTCTGAGAGCTTTACATCCTTTCATACTCTGCAACTTCAAGAGGTATATATTTATACATATTATATATATATATATATAAACACTCTCACAAATATAGGGATGAACAAAGCTGAAAATGATAAAGGCAGGTAAATAAAAAATTCGAAAAAGCAGCAACAACAAAAAAAGTCCCACTTCATACCTTTTTTTTTTAAATTTTCTTAACCTCTTCTTCTTTTCTTAATTTTCCACACTGATATATATATATATATATAACTTTTTCTGGGTATAGTATAATATTCTTAGTGAGCAACACAAACTGAACGATGGGTAATAATTCTTTCGTTTGGCTTTGTTTCTGACCGATCCACACTGAATTGAACAGTAATTAGGTGAAGAAACTAGACAAGGAGAAAAAGGAGATGATGATGGTGATGATGATGATCAAGAAGATAAAGAGCTTGATATGGGAATAGCAACACCACCACTCCCACAAATCTTCTCAGCAAACTCCAAGATTCACCACTCAATTTCCTCCAATTCTCCCAATAATTCTATGTCCCAGCAGGACTACCACCAAGCAGCAAACATCTTCAGCACCTTCTCGAATGGCTTCGAGAGATCGGCGGTGACGGCGGCGGCGGCAGCAGCCCACCATGACCACCACAACCACCACCAGCACCACATAGCGCAGCAGATCCGGAGGGAGAAGCTCCGGGTGCAAGGCTTCGACGCCCCGCACCCGGGCCCCCCATTGGTTGGCATCGATGAGGATGTCGAATCCGGTGCCCTACCTGTGTACGAGACCGCCGGAATGCTATCCGAGATGTTCAATTTCCCTCACGGTGGATCATCGGCCACTGAATTGTTAGAGCAGCAGCAGATGAGGCCGCCGCAGCCTCCTCCGCCGGGGAACGAGTGGTATGGTGGTGGCCGACATCATCAAAGTGGCGGCCGTGACAGTTCCATAGCCTCTCATCATCAGCAGCATCAACATCATCCTCATCATCACCATCAGATTTCGGGAATTAATGCGGACTCAGCCGCAGCCATGCAGCTTTTCCTAATGAATCCTCCGCCTAGATCGCCTTCTCCTCCCGCGGCCGCTGCCGCCACCTCCTCCAACACCCTCCACATGCTCCTCCCAAACCCTTCCCCTAATTCCCTCCAACCATTCACACACCACTCAAGTACTAATTCAGCCGGAGGAGGAGGGCCTTTCGGTCAATTCACCTGGGTCCCCGAGGGCGGAGGAGGAGGAGCAGCAGCAGCAGCCGCCGGCCCCCCAGCCGATATCAGCGGCGGTGTCGTCGAAAGCCAAAGCCTCTCTCTCTCCCTCAATTCCTCCTTACAACCCTTGGAAGCCGCCAAGGCCGAGGAGTTTCGCAACATCGCCGGGAACGCCGGGATGTTGTACTACGGCACGCCTACAGCTCATGGCGGGTCGAATTCCGCCGAACAATATGCTTACAAGAGCTTCGGCATCGGACATGGCGGCGGCGGCGTAGTGACAGCTCCGAACCACCACCACCACCACCAACTGCACGTGGGGTATGGATCGTCCTTGGGAGTGGTCAACGTGTTGAGGAACTCCAAGTATGTCAAAGCCGCCCAAGAATTATTGGAAGAGTTTTGCAGCGTTGGAAGAGGTCATTTCAAGAAGAACAAGTTCGGTAGAAACAACAGTAACAACAACAACGCAAACCCTAGCTCAAGTGGAGGCGGTGGCGGCGGCGGCGGCGGCGGCTCTTCATCGTCATCGAAAGATGTCGTTGTCCCTCCATTGTCCGCCGCCGATAGGATTGAGCATCAGAGAAGGAAGGTCAAACTGTTGTCTATGCTTGATGAGGCATGTAATCTCCTCTCTCTCTCTCTCTCTCTCTCTAACTAATTTCTGTTCTCTCTTTTACCCTTCTCTCTCCTCCAAGAGTCAAATAGCCGGTGATGATTTTATTATTATTATTTTTACAAAAAAAAAAAAAAAAAAAACAACAACAACAACAAGTAACAGAAATTTCCGACCACTTCTTGCGAATAAAAAAAGACCCTCAGAATAGGGAAAAGCCGGCTAAGCTTCCCCTTCAATAGTGTGGGCACCAATTAAGTTTGTAGCTAATAGCTATAGGCTTTGATTATACACTTTTTCGTTGTCGTTTTTTTTTTTTTTTTTAAAAGATTATATTTTATTTGGCGGTGAGTTATGAGGCGAAGTTTGGTGGTGTGAAAACGTTGGAGACTACTATTAGGGGTATGCGTCCAGTGAGAAGCTACGTTGGTCCTCCTAATTGGGAAGAAAGACCAAAAATATTATATGCGTATAATTAGCACACCACATTACGTATGCTCAATGCCCTTAGGAGATTCATACCCATCAGAGTAATATTGCAGGGAAAGCTAGCTATATATGTATACACAAAAATGTATTGATAATTATATGGCAGTTGACCTTTGAGAGAGGAGAGGGTATTTGTTTCTTTTCTTTTTTTTTTTTTTTTTTTGCCCTTTTTCCCCTTCTCTTCTCTTTTCTAGCCTGTTGGCTATATAATTGGCAGAAACCAAAAAAATTAAAAAAAAAAATTGACCCCAGGATATTCTTACTTCAAATTAACAATCATTTCTTTGTACCAGGCTTTGATTCAAGCATTTATTCTCTACTTTAGGTTTCCCTCTAAGAGCAACAGTAAAGTCCCCAGACAACAACTCCTAAGGCTCATGAAAATCCTCAAAGAGTCTAGGATGAAGGATTGGCCTAGCTCTTTGACTCTCTTCTGAACTTGTTATTATTTCCTCCCAATTTACCTTACCTCTTGAGTCGATTCATGACTTTCATATGTATCCATTTATATCCCATGTTCATTATTAATGTTTTTGTTGTTTTCATATTTTATTTTTCTTTCTTTCTCTTAGAATATATAACCTGATTTAGACATTTTATCAGTCCATCAACGTTTTTCTGTTGGCACGTTGCTTTCTCCAACTGATCTCACTACTCTCTTGCAACCTATAAAAATCCTTATATTGTACAACAATCGGCCATGACGTAACAATAATGCTACTTACAATTATCCCATCTTCCGTAATTAAGCACCATCTTTAATTAGCCATGACGTTTTTTTTTTTTTGTGATAATTATTATAATTGCTATAATTATCTTTTCAGGTGGACAGAAGATACAACCATTACTGCGAGCAAATGCAGATGGTGGTGAACTCGTTTGATCTGGTGATGGGGTTCGGGGCGGCGGTGCCATACACTGCCCTAGCGCAGAAGGCGATGTCGCGGCACTTCCGGTGCCTAAAGGACGCCATAACCGCGCAGCTTAAGCACAGTTGCGAGCTTTTGGGAGAGAAAGATGGCGTGGGAAGCTCCGGGATAACCAAAGGGGAAACTCCGAGGCTGAAACTGCTTGAGCAGAGCTTGAGACAGCAAAGAGCCTTCCAATCCATTGGGATGATGGAACAAGAAGCTTGGAGACCCCAAAGAGGCTTGCCTGAACGCTCTGTCAACATTTTACGAGCCTGGCTCTTTGAGCATTTTCTTCATCCGTACGTCTTTTTCCCCTAATTAATTATGCCTTCCCTTTTATTTAAGGAGAATTCTATTATTTAAAACAAAATTAAAAGCTAAAAGCAAAACTTATATACAATATGACACATTTTTTACAATCAGATTATTTCAAAATAGTTCTAATAATAGAGTATTATTATACGCTACGACATGAGTTTTATGTATTATTTTATAATTATATGCCTTTTTTTTTTTTTTTTTTTTTTTTGCTTAATAATGGAGAGGAGATATTAGTATCAAAGGTTAATCGACCACATTCCAATTATGTTGGCATTTAAAAGAGATTTCTAATCCAATAGGACATATATGAAAATTGTCGTAATCTGCATTTAGTTATTATTACACTTGGTTCAAGGAAAATGGCCTAAAGTATACGTTGTGTAAAACTATGGACGTAGATATTAGTTAGTAGTAATGCATTGATCTAAATTTGTTGTCCAAATTTTAGTGTCTTAATTAGTGTCTAATTAATTAAGGCATACCACATTATCTCATGATATACACAAAAAAATTAGTTAAAAAATAATCTAAATTTTTCATATGACGCAGTATAATTTAATTAATTAGACATTAAATAAGAGACTATAATTAGACGGCAGACTTGAGTCTCATAGCAATTGCTATTAGGTTTGATATTACATACTTGTCTTACTTGCTAATTGAAAAAGGCCAAAGAAAAAGTTAGAAAAGCCAAATGGAATTATGATGAAATGATACGGGGAAATGTGGTACTAGATGGATACATAATGAAACTTTATTAGTTATAAGTAAGAACAAGAGGAGCTTTGCAGTAAAATGTTTAAAAGGAAGTGGGGAGAATAGTTACACAAAGGCAGTGTCATGTCCTTGGACTTTGTCTTGGGACAGTCAAAAAAGCTGTGAAAAAGATCAGGTCCCTATTAATTAAACTATAATTTTCTTTTCTGGGTCATTCAGAAAAACACGTTTTGTGTAATTGTATTAAGAGAAGATCAGTGAGTACAGTATAGTTGGATGTGCTTTTCTTAACTCGAGGGTCTACACAGCTATATAGCTTATTAGGCAATAGAGCCTAGAGAGGGGTTCGCTAATCTTTCTTTCTGCTCCTAGATTCTCACGCACATGCACAGACAGAAAGATATATAATATATATATATATATATGTATAGAGAGAGAGAGAGAGAGAGAGAGAGAGAGAGAAAGCTCAATCCCATCTGGAGGTACAGAAAGCTTTGACGTCTCTTTATACGGTTTTGAGGAAGGACTCTGATGTCATTTTCTGGTCTCTTTCTCAGGTACCCAAGCGATGCAGATAAACATCTGTTGGCACGCCAGACTGGTCTATCGAGGAATCAGGTAAATTGCTCCTGATCATCCCTAGTCTTACTTACAATATGACAATATATATATATATATGCATTGCGTCATCAGTAAATTTAATCACAACATTGAATGAAATAGTGATATATAAACATTTATGTGTGTATTGTGCATGTTATGAATTATTAGCATTAAAAATGACTAAACTGATGCGTGGAA